ATAAAATATATCCATAATTAAGCAGGTTTGGTAGCACATGCCTTTAGTCCCAGCACTCAGAAGGCAGAGGCAGGTGGATCTCAGTGGGTTCAAGGCCAGGCTGGTCTACATAATGAGGTCCAGACCTGCTGGGGCTGTTTTAAAAAAGACCAACTATAATACACAGACCACCACACACACACACACACACACACACACAATTACCTCAAGAAAGGTATACTGGCAGAGACCATCAAAAGTGTAGCTTTCTCCATCAAAGGTTCTAATGTGCCCTTCCCCATAGATGTGGCAGGTCGTTTGACACGCATTTTGGGTACAGTTCCAAGATCCCTTTATGGAAGTACTAAAAGGAGAAAAATGAAAGAGTGTGGTGATTATGCCATGATTCACTTATTTTTATTATTTTTTCTAAAGAATCATAAAATGTATCTTGGCTTAATTTTTGTAGGTGTCTCCATTACCTCCATCGATTATATGTAATACTATACAAAGTTTGTTTTTTTTAAAAAAATAGTATTCTCTCCTAACTTAAGTTGGCCACTATTTTTCCCAAATAGCTCTAGCTAGGTATGATGTCCTGGTTCCCACACAAACTGAAAGCCAGCTCTACATTTCCAAACACCCCAAGCAAAGGAACGTGGGTTTGACCCATTATCACGTACCACTCGTTGCAGCCAACGGAAGTGACACTTCCTTGTTCATACTCTCGTTCTCCGAAAGAGCAGGGGCAGTCATCAGGAAAGATGCATGTCTCTTTAGAATTTTGAACCATTCCTGCTGGACAGTAGCACCCACGTTTGCAAGGCAAGTCCCCCTAGAAGGAAACATTCAGAACCGACACCCTGAGACACTGTTGTCATGTCACATCATCAACAGCCAAGACAAATGCGTAAATGTGCCAACTCTACGTATTGTAATAAATTGCCAAAATTCGGCAAGTCAAAACAGCTCACGTACGTGCATGTGCGCACACACACTTATGCACGTGCTTGCGTGATCTAATTATTTTTCTTATAAATGTAGTTTCTATCAACCCTGAAAAACATGAAAAGTTTCAGAAGGCTCCACTCTAATGCCATGTTATTTACCTCAAAAGCAGGAATGTTCTGGGTGCCACAGGTTTTATCAGTCCGTCTCTGAGCCTTGGGATCCTTGCAATCTACATACTCAGCCCCTCCTGAACAATTTTCTGCAAGACAAAAGAAGTTGCTGTTAACCAAGAACTCTTGATCTAGTTTGACCTTTTATCCACACTTATAAGAAGTGGGGTATGGTGGCACATGCCTATGACCCCAGCACTCAGGAAGCTGAGCCAGGAGAATTACTGTGAGTTCAAGACCAGCCTGGTGTGCTTAATGAGACCTGACCTCAAAAGAAATAAAGAATGGAGGGAGATAGGGAAGAAAAGAAAGAGAAAAAGAAGGAGG